CCCTTTAAGTTTGTTTGTTTTCTTCCAGGTAATTTTTTCAGCAATACAACAAGAATTAATAAAGAAAATGGGACCAGAGGGAAGAGTCATTGCTGTGGCAAGCCTGGCTGTGTGGTCCTTAGAAACTGGTTTTCAAGATGAATACAGAAGAGTTTGGAGGTATGGGCTAGAGAATGCTGTAAGTTAGCTTAATGAGTTTGGAAGACCGGAACACCAGCAGAAATGTAGACAATGAAGACTCCCCACAAGTTTTCACATGTAAACAAAAACTCTACTGAGAATTGGATTAGACACCAACTGTGTTACACCATGGTAAATGTGGCAAGGAATTTGTCTGTGTTTTGTCCAAGTGCTGAACATTTGAGTGAGGCTGAATTCAAGAGTAATGGACTAAGCCAGGAGGTAGTTGTGCATGCATTTATCCCAGCACTATGGAGGCTGAAGCAGGTGGATCTCTGTGAGTTCAAGGCCATCCTGGTCTACAGAGTGAGTTCCGGGATAGCCAGAGCTACACAGTGAAAGCCTGTCTTGAAAACACAAAAATAAAACAAAACAAAAAAACAATCAAAAACAAAACAAAAAGTAATGGACTAAGCATCTTGGTGGAGCAAATATTAAGACAACACAATATTATGGCTGTGGCATGGTTACGCTGACTGCTTCCAGCAAGGTTTACTGTTAAAAGTGGGAACAAAAAGGTTTACAAAGAGAATTGGGAGAAGGATTTGAAAAAAAAAAATACAATTTGGCAAGGACAAGAAGTGTGAGTGTGGCTGCAGCTGTGGACAAGATAAAGTGGGGGAGGTTTAAAGAGATTAGCGCCACAAAACTCTGTGTGTGTGTGTGTGTGTGTGTGTGTGTGTGTACTTCATGGTGGAACAATAGGAGAGGTACCTTGAATGAGAAATCCTAGCCATTGAAGGTTCTAGGGTGTGAACATAGAACTAACTTGAAAGAATTTCCTTTACTGCCTGAAAAAAATTGTTCAGATTGCCCTACTGGGAAAGAGCCACCAAAGGAGTGCTTTCTGGCATTCAGCAAGGCAGACACTCAGGAAGTGCTACAACCATCATCCAATAGGCTCCATTCACTATCTGAACTGACAGAACTTCATGTTCCATGTAGTTCTGGGTTTTAGGAATGTAGAACACTAGAATTATAGGGTTATTTATGGAGCCTTGCCTCAAGATTTTTTGAAAAAAGCCTGGGAGGCTAGGCAATATGTAGTAGGGTTGGATTCCAGAGTTCTAGAACAAGCTATGTGTGATTGTTTGAATGTAATTGCCCCCCATAAGCTCATTGGGAGTGGCACTATTATGAGATCTGGCTTGGTTGGAGTAAGTGTGGCATTGTTGAAGGAAGTGTGTCAATGTGGGGGCAGGCTTTGAGGTCTCCTATGCTCAAGCTACAGCCAGTGTCTCAGTTCATTTCCTGTTGCCTACAGATCAAGATGTAGAATTCTCAGCTCCCTCTCTAGCACCATATCTGCCTGCATGCCAACATGTCCCACCATGATGATGATAATGGACTGAATCTTTAAACTGTATTCCACTCAATTAAATGTTTTCCTTGCCAGGCGTTGGTGGCACACACCTTTAATCCCAGCACGCCTTTAATCCCAGCACTCGGGAGGCAGAGGCAGGCAGATCTCTGTGAGTTCAAGGCCAGCCTGGTCTCCAGAGCGAGTGCCAGGATAGGCTCCAAAGCTACACAGAGAAACCCTGTCTCAAAAAACCAAAAAAAAAAAAAAATGTTTTCCTTTATAAGAGTTGCTATGCTCATGGTGTCTCTTCACAGCAATAGAAACCTTAACCAAGACACTGAGAGAAAAGCTGAAGCAGCAATGGAGACCCTAGGTTGAGATGCCAGGAACATGGGAAGACTGAAGAAAGCTGCAAAGCACTGAAAGGAGCTGGCCCAATAGAAGCCATGTGTGCTGCACCACGGGCATGGTCAAAGGGCCAAGGCCATCTGAGCCTGTTGGAGTATGAATGTCACCATCCACCCTAGGTACTAGACACAGACCTGTTGGATTTAATGTTTACTCTGCTAGACTTTTGGTTCAAATACTTTCTTCCAGTTCTCCTGTTTTTCCCTTTTTGGAATGGGAATGTTTACTCTGGCATTGTATAGAAGAAGTATATAATTTCTCCATTTTGCAGCAGTTTACAATTAAAAATTTCCCTTGAGTTTCAGAAGAGAATTTGTACTTTTCTAACTTTTGGAACTGTTAGGATTTCAAGACATCTTAGAAGTTGGACTAAATGCCCCATGTATTATGGGATGGCCATGAGCCTTTGAGGATGAATGTGATGGTTTGAATTTGAAGTGTCCCCTATAGGTTCATGTTTTCAACACATGTTCCCCATTTGGTAGCATTATTTTGTGAGGCAATGGGATCTTCAAGAAGTATAGCCTTGCTGGCAGGACTCAGTTATGAGAATGGACCTTTAGAGGTTGTAGTTGGGTCCCTACTTCAGGCTACTCTGCATCCTTCCCCCATCCACCATGTGCTGAGTTTCTGCCATATGCTTTCCCCTACATGAACTGTCATGCCTTCCCTACAAGAAGAACTGAAACCCTTGAACATCTAAAAGAAACCTTTTTTCCCTTCTGTCAAATACTTTGATCCCTACAATGACTTGAAAGTAATGGCTAAATTTGCTGTGAAGAGAATATGGGAGAAGATGGGATGTTATTTTATTTTGTCTTTAAAAAAAAAGAACTCTAGGGCTGACAAGATGGCTCAGTGCTGAGAAACCTGAAGACTCAAGTCCTATCCTTTAGACCCACATGGTTGAAGACCTGACTTCCATAAGTTGTCCTCTGACCTCCATGTGAACTCGATGGCACAAGTGTGAGTATACACACACACAATAAAGTAATGTAATTTTTTTTTTAAAAAAAAGATCTCTAATCCTAATTAGAAACTACCTGTTGCTTTTATGGCATGACCAATAAAGGCTTGAAAAGTCATGTCTATCCAGGCTTACTTTTTGAAGCATTGTCTATTCCTGACTCGCTAAGATATGAATCCAGTTTAATCCTTGATAAAAACCTAGAGGATAGCCAAGTGTGATGGCACATCTTTAATTCCAACACATGGAAGGCAGAGGCAGGAAGATCTCTGTGAGTTCGAAGCCAGCTGGTCTACAGAGTGAGTTCCAGGACAGACGGGGTGGAAGGAGAAAACTAATTCCTGAAAGTTGTCTTTGTACCTCCACATGTGAGCATTGGCATGTATATACAAATACACACACACACACATACACACACACACACACACTGAAAAGTAAATGTTAACAAATTTTGTGTGTGTCCGTAACTTAATTTTATCTTTGAGGTTATAATGTAATCATATAATTTCTCCCCTCCCTTTCCTTCCTTCACATTTTTTTCTAAAGATTTATTTTTATGTGCATTGGTGTTTTTGTCTGCATGCACATCTGTGTGTAAGGGTGCCAGGTACCCCAGAAATTGAGTTACAGACAGCCGTGACCTGCCATGAGGGTGCTGGGGATTGAACTTGGGTCCTCTGGAAGAACATCTAGTGCTCTTAACCCAAGTTATCTCTATAGTCGCCACAATATTTTTAAGAGGAAAAAAATTAAAGTATTTTATTTTTTGGAAGTTCTAGTCTTGCTGTAATGCAGTCCTAGAGACTGGGTTTACAGTCTATAAAAACAAAGTTTTGTCTCACAGTCCTGGAGGCTGGAAAGTCCAAGATCAAGTGAAGGCCTTGTGCAGCCTCTTAACTCGGTGCCAGGTTAGAACAGGAAGGGAAGTGTGTTGAACAGAAAAAATGGACAGTATTGCTTCAGGTTGTAACCCTTAAGATAATCAACCCAGCCCTTCAAGAATTAATGCAGACACATGAGAAAAGTATGGGTGTGGGGGCGCTGACCCTGAGACCCAAGTGCTTCCCACTAGGGCTCATCTCCAACACTGCTGCATCGAAGAACTGCTCTCTAGCACAAGACCTTCTAGGGAACACACTCAAAGGAGTATGCTGATCAGTATTATGTCAATCGACACAAGCTAGTCATTTAGAAAGAAGGAACTTCAACTGAGAAAATAGGCCCCTGCCAGATTAGCCTGTAGGCAAATCTGAAGGACATTTTCTTGATTGATGGTTGCTGTGAGGGACCTAACTCACTGTAGGTGGAGCCAACACTGGGCAGATGATTCTGGATGTTGCATAAATGGGCATAGTGAGCCATGGGGAACAAGCCTGTATAGCACAAGTTCCCGTCCTGACACCCTTCAATATTGGACTATGATATGGAAGTATAAATAAATCATTCTCTCAAATTGTGTAGTGACATGGTATCTTATCACAGCATTAGAAACCTCAAAACAGAAATTGGTGCCATGAGTGGGGTATTGCTATTACAGATGTTCACACTGCATTTGTACTGTGGGTTGGAAAAACCATTGAGTGCTCAGGTATCAATTGACCATTGTGTGGGAGATTGAAGGAAGGTATTAAGAGCAAAGCAGATGATGGAGGTCTAGCTTGTGAAGTTTCAGAGTCTCTTAAAGATTCTATCAGGGCTTTTTATGTGATGTTTGAAGAATCTGTGGTCTCTGGTTAGCTGGAGCTTAAGAATTGGCTGTGATTAATTAAAGAGACCAGCACCACTGGCATGAAAACTGCTTGGCTAGGACAATGGATGCTGGTCTGCTGGAGCGGAACATCAGCTGTGATTAAGAAAAGGAAGCAGAATCATAGAGGCATCGTGGAGGGCCGAGAAATAACGAACGTCTAAAATGTACTGGATGGATTTACAGATGAATGCTGGCTTGTCTGCAGTTTTATGGCTTAAGCTCAGCCTTCCTCCAGGAAGTTAATAGGTCATCCCTTTAAGGCTCTTCACTCCTGTGGTGTACCTACTGGCTAGATCTACTTTCTTTTCGAACCATTAAAAGTATTGCTCATCAGAGACTTACTTTGAAACTTTACAACTCTTTTTTGTTCCTATAGTAATCACATGATCATGTAATATTCCGATGGTTTTATTAACAAGTCTATAATACATATATTGCATACTGTATATAGTATATGAGGACTGTACAGTACAAATTTATGTTCACAGTTTGACATGACAAAATGTCATTACTGAATTCCCATTGGACTACAGGGTAGAAACAGAGAAGGTACATTTAAACATTCACATCTTTAGTAAGAAAGATTACCAAAATGTTTCAGTATTTGCAAGTATTCTAATGCATGCTAAAAACCTTTACCCATTCAGTCTTATTAGCTTATAAAATATATTACACTTTATTAAAAATTTCTGCATAGTTTATACAAGTATTAAAGTACTGTAAATGCGACAACCCTGCTATGCTTGCAGGTAGGGTTTAAGAGATGCTAAGCAGAAAGGTTATTCTGACCCTCTAACACTAAGTACATAACAGGAAAAAAAAGTGCTAGTATTTGTAAAACACGTTGTAGCCCTCGTTTAATGCATGTAAAATGGCTTTGTAAATGTATTACTTAAGTGAATTTGCAATCATTTAGAAACTGTTAACCTTGACCAAGAAGAGAATAAAGAAAACTCAAGTGACTTCATGTATGTTAGCAATTCCTTCAAGACAATTCTATTTTCAAACCAAATTACTTTAAACCCTCTGATCTCTGAGATTGTCTTTATAACAATCTAAAGAATGGTGCGTAGATTACAGTATCAGCAAGTCTCTCAAATTCCACATTAGTGCAATACTGATAGTGCAGGTGGGTGTTTAATACAAAATACATATACATATCATTCCCCTGTAGTTCTGTTCCAAGGCTCTTGAAACGTCTGCATATTTAACATCTTCTTAGTTAAACAAAGCTATGCCACAGTCTCTAAACCAAGTGACTGTAGACTGCTAAATGCCCACTTAATGATGTACACTCTCACTGGAAAACACAAGATTCTGATTAATTTTAACTTCCCCAGGATGATACGTTAGCAGTAATCGAGTGAGCTCTGTAACAATTTACATAGTGCTGACTTCATGTTTACAGCCTGTTCTCATCAATTTAAAACACTGTGATTGGACCACCACTGACAGTCAGATAGCATGTCATCCAACATCACGTTTCCAGGGCATCTGATCATGTGCCTTCCACAAAAACAGCTAACAAGGCTAAGAGACTAAATTACTCAACTATCATAGTAAAATACAAATACATATACATATAAAGAAAATTTGGTAAGGGCCAATGAACAAAGTATATCAGACCAGCATGGAAATAGAGAACAGGTTCTCTGGGTCATTTTTCTTTCAGAGTCAAAATGGACTAATAGAACTGTTAACATGATCTAAGCAAGCTGAAGAGTAATGTGATAGACTTTTGAAAAAAATTTAAATATGTCACGAAGCTATTAACTATATACTTCAGCGCAAAGCTGAAGCAAAGCTAATTCTGTCCTTCCTTGCACCCTTTCCCCTTCTCATTGGGTTGGAACACATAAACTGAAACAACAAAAACAGACAGGATTCTTGGGTGCAATGCAGAAGAACCACTTCAAGACATGATGTGTTGGCATGAGTGTAACTCAACATTGACAATAGAGACCCTGCTTTTCCAAGAGACATTCCACTCCTCTATTCATGCCATAGTTGCAAACAAGAGCAAAGCAAGACCCTAATTAGCATGCTTTAATAACCTGAACAATTTTTTTTTTTGCAGCTCCTAAAAAGGAACAAAAAGGAACCCAAGTGCTAAGATAACATTTCTTTACAGTTTTCACCCACATTTCCCCTTCAGCTGGTTCACAGGGCTGAGCAGGACCTCCTGCATGTAGTCCCTGCAACTCCCAACATAGTGCCTTCAAAGCGAGCTCCCTGCTCACTCATGTGCAGGCCACCAGCATTGCTCATTCATTGATATTCAAGAACAATCAAGTAGCATGCTCCTCCCAGTTGTGTTGGATCCTGAGTTGTGGCTGGGACGAATTTCCAGGATTCTCTCTTCTCTTCTCCTCCATCCTTTGTGGGGATGAAAGGGTTGTTGGTCACATGCAACCATCTGACCATTGTGCCCATTTTCTTTAAATTTATAACCAATGGCATTTCAACGTGTGAATTGTTTTCATTGGCGTTTGGACTATGGTGTTCAAAAGCCTGCTTTTGAAAAACAAAACAAAAGAAAACAAACAAACAAAAAAAACCCAAAAAAGAAAACAAAACAAAAAAGCGCTCCCCCCACCCCAACATCAACATGAGTCATTGTTTTTTGTTTGTCCTAACAGGATACATAGTAGCGACAGGAAATTGCTAGCTCTGGCAGAAACTCGTGGGAATCTTCAAGCTACATATATAAATCCCTGAATTGTGTTTTTCTCTATTTTTCAAAAATCTGTCACCAAAATAAAGATCTATGTGCTTCACACTAGGTATATTTACAAATAGTGTCACTCAGGTCTTAATTCAATGACTTCCCTCAAGTTTAGTGGATGCTCATGTATGCTATGTGTCACAGACACAAATGACAGTTGGTTTGGCACCATACAACTCACACAAAAAAGGTTCATATGAAAGCTATGTGATCAATTGGATATGGGAGTATAAGTACCACTCAATGTTTTCCTGTTTGCAAAAAACACTCTTAGCCAGTGGGTGTAGGGAGAGATCATCTGATGCTGTCTTAAAAGTTTTTGTTTGATTGTTCATTACCGGGCAAATATTTCTGTGAATTCCTTCTCTCTATGCTTCTTGATCCGAGATGAAGGATCCTGCAGGGATGGTGGCAGAGGCACCAATAACCCTATGGGTCTCCAGCTTTGCGGCAAGGGTCTGCTTAGTTGAGTTAGGCCTGGGGATGGGCATTTAACAGATGCACTGCACAGCTAATGTTAATGGCCCAGACAGTCCTATCTAGGAATCGATGACATCCTCCTCCACTCCCAGGATCTTCTGTTTTTTTTTTTTTTTCCAAACTATGGTAGCATATGGCTCACCTACGGCAGAAGCTCCGGCTCAGCTCTCAGGGTGTCAAAGCATCCACTTGAGCTTCAGGCATCATAGAGGACAAAGGAGTTGATTCGGTGGAGTTAGTAATCCAGGCCAACAAGAGTGTGGGATGGGCAATGGCAGGGGGACAGGACCAGCTTGACATCTCTGTGGATCTTGCTAACTGCATTCTTTTTGTTGTCAAACACAAATGTAGCAGAGGTATGAAGGTCTCTCTGGCAAGGACTAGCAGGTTGGATACTGTATTTCTGATATATTTACTCTGACATTCTTTTGAGAAATACATGGAGAAACTGACAAATTGGTCGTTAGTTTACATGTTCCCTTGTTCTCATTACATTAAACGCATCTGTAATAAGGAGGGTTTGCTTAGCATCCCCAGAAAAAAAAAAAAAATGTTCACATTCTTTAGGTCTGACCCGTGGTAAGGAAAGGGAGGGTTAGAGAATCAACTACTGACCATATGGAAGTCTTGAATGATATAAATTCAGAGATTCAGACCAGCTGAATCGAAATTAAATGTACATATAAAAATGAGTTAGATAATGGGCAGGAGGAGAGGAACAGAGACAGAGACACATACTGTGAGAGAGACAGAGTGCCAGGAAGAGGGAGTGGAGACAGGCTTTCAGACTAGCATGTGGCGTTTCCTATGTAGGGCAAGATGGTCGGAGCGAGAGAAGCTTCGGTCACAGTCCGGACACTGGAAAGGCTTGATTCCAGTATGTTTTCGGAAATGTCTTGTAAGTTCATCAGACCGAGCAAATTTCCATGTGCAGCCTTCCCAGGTGCATTTGTAGGGCTTTTCTCCTGCAAGGAAGGGAAAAGGAGTTTAACTGACTTGTTTTTTGTTGCTGTTAAAAAGAGAAGCTAAGATTTTTGAGCTAACACCCTTGGAAAATGCAACTTTCGAGATTAAGCACATACACGTGACTCTCCATAATACAGATGCTATAGGAAAAGCACGAAATAAACTTTCTCAATGGAAAAGCAAAGAAAAAGAATGTGGGTAGGGTTCTAAAGAGTTCTTAAGGCAGGAAGAGCCATTTTGGGGGACCAGCATGGAGCAGGATTCTATATCTCTAGGTCTGCAAGCCTTAAACTCTCTGGAGATAAAATGGTACATGGTACTATGCACTTCATAATTCCACTGAAAGCTTGTGAGTTTTTCTTATACCTTTCCATAGTTTTCTAATTCAATGGCCCATTTTCTTATGTGGTCACTGACAGTGATGCCAAGTACAGTGCTTCAAGCCCCCACGTACTGAAACTTTTAAGTTTCCTCTGCCTTCTACATCCCTTCCTGAAGGCTATCACTCCCAGGTGAGGAACTGAAGGCTCTTATGGGAAAATGCTAGTGAGAGCCAGTATTAAGACCCTCACAGACAAACAGTACTTATTGGTGGTCTTACTATATTAAAATCAGTAATACAAGTTGGCCACCCCTAATACAAAATTCAGAACACTCTAAAACAGTGGTTCTCAACTGTGGATCTCGACCCTTTCAGGGGTCACCTAAGACCCTCAGAAAACACAGATATTTACATTATGATTCATAGCAGTAGCAAAATTACAGTTATGAAGTATCAATGAAATAATTTTATGGTTGGCAGTCATCACAACATGAGGAACTGTATTCAAAGATCACAGCATTAGGAAGGTTGAGAACTACTGCTCTAAAATCTGAAACGCTGTGTGAGTCTTTCTTAGTAGCAGATGTTCTCTTTAGTGACAATCACATCAATGCTCAGATTTAGGAAAACGCTGTATAAAAGTTTCCTTTAGGCCATGAATAGAGCAAGGAACACCCAGTTGATAGCAGGGTTAGGGTTAAGTCGCTGTTTAGTGACCCTTGTCTCTAGAATCCTTGGCATTAAGTGTTGGGATTTCTGGGCTGTATTTTGCTATTCAGCCCATACACACCTATGTCTGAATCCAAAGACTCAATAACTTTAGGCAGGAAGATGTGAAGTTCCAACCTTCGGGTCCCATCCACACCTAGAAGATGACTTAAGTGCTGACCCATGGCTGTTTGGGAGCTCCCCTGATACAGCAACCGCCTCCTCCTGATTCACCAGAAACCACTGATTTTTTTTTCCTGACTGAATCCCAGATTCCTCTTTCTGAATATCCTCTGATAAGAATGACCCAGCAGACTCAGAAAAACAACTACATTCTGAGCTCCACACAAAGGTCACACGGTAAATCACTGAAGGGCCTGAGCCAAGAGCAGCCTTACCACACAAAGGGACAATATAATAATAATGATGATGATGATGTAGTAAAAGTCTTACAGTCTCAGGGTGTGTTTGGCATGTCAGATTTTCAGATTGGGGCAGTCAAACTCTCCCACACTCTGAAGACCAGATCCACCACTTTAGCCATTCACACCTATCCGCCCCCAGGGCCAGGGAGAACACTGCTGCTTCTCCTACCTGTGTGTGTTCTTCTGTGTGCTTTCAAGTGCGAGCTCTTAGTGTAGACCTTGTTGCATCCGTCATAGTCGCATCTGTGTATCCTCCGCTTCCTTTGGGTATCCGGGGACTCCACAGGTAGAGGCCTCTTCCCAGGCTGCACTATGACCGAAGGGTGGTTCCTACCAAAGTCAAGGATAAATGCGAAACACTGAGAGAAGCTGTTTTCTTTTCTCCACTCTACTAAAAACCAAAAGGCATGTACAACATCGGGCAAAAAACAAACAAAACAACCCCCAACAAAGAAATAATAATAATAATAATAACAATAATAAAAAAAGAATTAGCTGTTCAACCCAAGAAGCACTGCTAAATTCATTCAACAAACATGTAGCGAGCACCTACCATGAGCCAGGCACTGTGCTTGGCACCGGGACACAAAGATGAATAAAAACAGGGTTCCTGCCCTCGAGGAGCTCACACTCTAGGGGGAGACAGACATGGAGATAAGTAATGACAGCAAGAAGGTTAGGTGCTACTCTCGAGGGAGGCGCCCCATGTGGGGAGAGGCTCTGCAGCTGTTGTTAGTATGACTGTTCCTTCTCAGCGCTGCACAGGGTCTCCCACAGGCTGCCTGCCTGATTTTCATTTTTCTCGAAGGAAAAATGTAGTCAAATCCCTGCTTCTTAGGCAAACACGCCACTTGACAGAGCCATCTTCTAGCCTTTTGCTTCATGTCTTTTTAAATTACTGCTGACTCATGTTTAATTTTCAAAAGCTGGCTCAAAGGATGTCTGTCAATGCTGTCTTAAGCACAATTTTTCAATGTCATGGAGGAGGCTCCCGCAGTCATTAGTGAAGTGGGGATACCTCAACCCCCCCATACCTTGACTGTTGCCACACTAGTCCAAGAGTTCTGACCACACTTGCTCACCATGAGTAGGAAGCATTCCCATGCCAGAAAGGAAGCCGATATGAGAGCAGGGGTAGATGGGGAAAAGTATGTGTCCAGTTTTTCAAACAGTTGCCTGCCAACTAACACTCACTTTCTCCTGGGCAATTACTTGACTGAAGCAAGCATATGCAGTTGGCCTCTGTGAGGAGAGACACTACTTTTCAATTTGCATCTCTGGATCCTAAAATGTTCTAAATGATGCATGGATGGTTTCTGTGTATGGGAGTGAATAAAAAATTATTCACTTAAAATCCTTCAGTAAAAAAGCAAGTTATCTATTTTTACTCTGGGAAAGCACTAGAGACTCAGTGGTGAACTATGTCCTTTGTGTCTGGGATACAGTGAGAGCCCATGCCAAGTGGCTTCAGACATCTGGGTTCAATGGGTCACTGCAGCATGGTGATTATGATTGCTCTTCCCAGTGTCACTGTCTCTGTTCCCCAATTTCCTCTGTGAAATGAGGGTGTTGATGCTACCAATGGAAAAGGCTGCTCCTGGTGAGCAGTGTGGGAAAGCTATCAGCAATTACTTGGAGAAGTAGCACAGCGCTTGTGCCAGAGGCCAAATGGCTAGCAGAAAGCTGCTAGGATTGTGTTCAGAAGTCCCCCTTCCCCTTTGCACCTCACGGCTGCCCAGCTTCACATGGAGTTTTCTGGATGTTTCAAAGCCACTTTAAGGAATATCAAGCTTGTGTCTATTGTAAAAGGTGGCATCATGATGGTACTGGCCGGGAGAAGAGGGTCTCGGGAATCTCATACTCTTTGGCCTTTCTACTCATTTTTTAGAGGCCTCTGAGATCAACAACCTCTGAGATACGGTAGCTACCATGTATCAGATATCTGCTTGGAGTTAAAATGGCTCATTAAGTTTTTGTTCTCATGCCCACCCTTCCCTGTCTTCTGTTCTAAAAGCAGCTCCACAAAGGTAAACACACGGAATGACATTTTTGACATACCTCTGAGTGCATTTAAAAATGACCCTACAGCTGTAATCCTAGATCAGCAAATGGGTTTCCAAGCTGTGAAGCCCACGCCTACACAGCAGAATTTCTAGGCCAGTGTTGCTGGGTGCCAGTCTCACTGCGGTGTTCTAGACACCTGGCTTCAAATGATTCTTTCCTGGCTAATATGTCCTATGTGGGCTGCTTCTGGGCCCACTCCAAGACATTACTTAATCCCATCTGCAACAGAATCACCCAGAGTGCATGTTCCGTGTGGCTAATCTACAGATTTCTTTTTTCTTTTTCTTCCTTTTTTTTTTTTTTTTGAGGGTTTGGTTAGCATTAAATATGCACATTACTCATTAAGCATTTAAAAGCATCTAGCAGTGAGATCACTAAAGGAGTATTTCAATATTTCTTGAAACAGGAAAGAAAAGAAATATACATGTATATTTTGAGATAAGTCTTATATCACACAGGCTGATCCTCCTGCCTCTTCCTCCCAAATGCTGGGATCACAGGCATGTGCTCCCACACTTAGCTGGAAACAGTATTTCCTTTTAAGCAGTATTCAAAGAATGGGAGAATGCTTTCAAATACTCTTCTGCCTTGTATCACTTTTTTGGGGGGTGGGGTGGGGTGGAGGATGTTTTGGTTTTTCAAGGCAAGGTTTCTCTGTGTAACAGCTCTGTATACCAACCAGGCTGGCCTTGAACTCAGAGAGATCTGCCTGCCTCCTGTTGAGATTACAGGCGTGAGCCACCACAGCCAGGCCATGTATCACATTTTAGTTTGTGACTTGAGACTTTAGACCAGTCCTCTGCCACTGGTCAGCTTCAGAGAAGATGGCAAGGAGACCACCCAGAGAGTGACAGCAGGCACAAAGTAGGTGCCCTGGGTCAAGTGGGATTATGGGAGTGCCATAAGTAGTGTCTTGGCCCACCAGTTCTTCATTAGGTCTGAATAAAAGAGCTCACTTGAAACACTCAGAGATGGGCATGAGGACATGAGCCAGCAACTCTGGCACTCTCATGAGGCCGATGCAGGTGGGCCATGAAAAAACAGACAAAAACCCACAACTGAACTTTTAAAGGCTTCCAAGACACTTCTTTTGCCTGATACTGCAGCTGGGGAGAAGTCAGCCCTCTCCATCCATTAGGGACTCTATGCCATCAGTGATATATCAAAAGAGCTCAGTGTGGTGGCCAGTATGAAATCCATGTATGCCAAAGGTGGGTGTGACTGCAGGAGATGTGACATCACCAGAAACAGCAGTGATAAAGCTTGAGAACTCATCCGCTGTTGGGTTTGTGACCAGAGGGGAAAAAAGAAGGCAGGAAAGGTGGGCAAAATATTTACTGAAGCCAGAGAAAAGGTGACTCAGGAGAAGGACGATGGGAGGGACCCTGAAGGCACAGTGGCTGTTGCCACTGAGGCTGACCACTGGACCCAAATGAACAGAGGGTTTGGGGAGTGAGAATTAGCTTAGCTGATGGTACCACACGTGCTGGAGCACAGCACCAGGGTCAAAAGTCATCTTCTCATGAATGCTGTGACTTAAGCATGTACAGTATGTCGTCCTGTTCAAGGATGTGCTCAGACGCTGGTCAAGGCAGACATCCTTCCTATTGGATTGCAGCCCTGCAAGCGAGGGGAGGCTCCATGGGAAGCTATGATTGAAGATGCAACACAAAGATTTTCTTCAGCGTTCAGCTTCTCCGAGCTGCGCGGAGACTTGTGGCCAACACTGTTGTTGGCCTCAAGATTTTAATAAAGGCCATTTTCAATGCTAGGCACACTAAACTACACTTGAAGTGACAACTGTGGGGTGGAGGGTGGATTCTGTTTGACACGTGAAATCGTTCTGGGATTCAAGCTGATGTGAACATCAAATCCAAATCCAATCTTCATGAGAACACTATACACGTGTATCCCAGATGGATGGGAAACGGGGAAAAAAGATTCACGTGGTCACCTTGGGGGACCCATTTGTTGAGGTTGACAGAACTGCTGTAGATATGGTTTGTGTTGTTCTTGGAGACGGTCTTGACCACTGGGAGGCACCACCCAGTGACACCACACAACACTGGTCATCACATGTTTGCAGTTCCATGCTCCATTCCAGGTCCCCAGGTTCATGGCACTACTAAAATACCAGGTACACCTAAGTATACTTACTCTTGCAACAATGCTTGCGGGGGGGACACTGAGTTCATTAAAGGGGGTGACATTTCTTCAGGGTAATAGTCTGTCCTCTGTGGTTCAATTCCAGGTTCTATTTTAATTTTTTTCTGTAATATGGGCTTCTCATATGATTCAATTACAGGTACTAAAAAATAAAAAGAGAAAATCATTCTACATACAATGCATGGATTTCAGCTTATAAAATCACTGCCTGGCTTCTAGCTACTGCACTTATGTATGAGAATTTCATCTCTGGCAAGGGTTATATTATGGCAGGACTTAATTTGTGAGGGATCTCCACTTCTTTCGAAGCAGAGAGAGGGCCCCACACTTCAGGATGACTCTTACAAAGTCTGGCTTTCCTCCTACTCCCCAGTCTAGGACTGGTGAATAGCCATTAACAGCATGATCAAAAAGTATTTAAGTCCCTTTTGTGCCCAGAACCATGTTGGCACTCAGTAAATCAAAGTATGGGATACACTGAGAAAGTAACTAATTATTGAACGTTCTCCCAATATCAACACTTCAAAACAAAAACAGAAAGAATTGCCAAGGGGGCAGACCAGGCAGTCTTTTGGAGGCTGTAATAGCTCTGCCTAGAGTCATCAGATTCCTGGAGGAGACTCAGTCTACTAAGCAGGTACCCAGGTGTAGAGGCCCGGTAGAATTTACCTTGCATGCTACTGTTTGAATTGTCCATGTCTTCTGACAAGACCATGAGTGGCTGCTGGAGGTGGCTGGTGTACATAAAAGGGACGGGTTGCACCACAACGGGCTGGATGACAGGGAGGATGCCAGGGCTCCGGATTCCATGTCTGGACAGTGCAGCTGCCATCACTGGTGGCATGGACAGTGGTACACCGAAGGGTTGCACACCAGGAGAAGGGGGCGAGTATTTCTTAATGGGCGGGCTGGAGGGTGGCATGCTCAGAACAGGGGATGCTCTCCTGTGCGATGGAAACTTGAGGGAGGAGGGAGAACTGCCAGCAGAGGGTGGTGAGCTCCGCTTGTTCACAGTGAGGTCCACTGGCTCCATCTGTATCCCGTGAGTAAGGCCTTCTGGGGTTTGAAAGAACTTGTCAGGTATCGGTGTGGAGTAAATGACCCCATATTTGTTGGGCTTCATGGATTCTATGTAATTCGATGGGTAGGACTATCAGAAATGAGAAAAGAGAAAAAAAGTGTAAAGAGACATACTTGGAGATGGAGAGACAAGTGACCCCCCAAAAAAACTATGGGGGATGGTTTAGCAAATGCCAGAGATTAAGGTTAGGGGGCCAAGGAAACACTAAATACCATGATTTTCACATTCAGTGTGAAGCCTGATACCTACCTGGCTACATTCTAAATCGGTCTGCATCACCAAAGGCTTGTGGCCTTCTTCAGGAGTCAACACTGATGCCACCAAAGGCAGGGCAACCATACGACCTGCTGCCTGGCTATGAACTGTAATTGTTAGCCCTTACCAAAGGGCTACTCTGGATCTAGTACCATCAAAGCACCCAGAACTGGGCACCAGGCTATGTGACTTTAGTCACCAGTTTTTAATCTAGCTCTGGTGTCACCTTCATTTTTCTTTTCTCCTAATCTTTATGTTTGTTGTTTCTGAGACAGGGTTCTCCTGTGTAGCTTTGGAGCCTGTCCTGGAACTAGCTCTTGTAGACCAGGCTGGTATCGAACTCAAAGAGATCCGCCTGCCTCCCAAGTGCTGGGATGAAAGGTGGGCACCACCACCCAGCTCTCTCCTAACCTTTAATGAGACTGCTTCTACTTTGTTTTTATTTTTTGAGACATGGTTTCTCTGTGTAGCTTTGGATCCTCTCCTGGCACTTGCTCTGTAGACCAGGCTGGCCTCGAACTCATGGAGGAGATTGTTGGAAAGCAGCAAGCCCTCTTAATCGCTGAGCCACCTCTCCATCCCAATGTCACTTTCTTAACTTATGACTGTGTGCTGTTTTCTTCTCCCTTCTTTACCTAGTTCTTATTACCCGTGTAACCCAGTGACTTCCACTGCCCCTGGGAGAACACCTTTCTTAGCAAAGCACTAAACGACAGAAATAAAAAGTAAAAGATCACCTGAAAGATAAGGGAAAAAAACTACCAATGCTATGCAGAATATGCAAAGGAATAAAACCAGAATATACTGGACACAAGGTTTTGGCATCAGCTTTCAGCTAGGGATGGAGGGCTGAATAACGACAATCCATACAGTCCTCTCTCTTATTTAAAATTGCATTTTTGTTTTGTGTTTGTTGTTGTTTCATTTTTTGATCTAACTCCATAGGCCAGGCTTGCTTTGTACTTGAAGCAATCCTTCTGCCTCTGACTCTCAAGTATTGGTCTGCACCAGCATATACAGCCCTTTCTTTAGAGCTGGCCACACCCAAGTATAAGACAAGTAAAGAGGTCCAAATTATACAGCAACGTAAACATTAAGCACATTTAAATTTAGTTAAAATAGGTGTCATCAAAAGGCTCACTTAAAAAAATTAGACATTATGCACAAAGAGGATCTCAGTAATTAAGAAGTTTCATAGGCTTTAGTTTTCCAAAGGACACAGTTCTGGTGGGAGGCAAATCTTCATGAAATGGGAGGCAGCCATGTGTTTCTTCACTGTAGTGTAGCATCTTCCTGATTTTTAGTCCTGTTCTTCCGAGACCTCCCAGTGACCTAGATTTTAAGGTCCACAGTTGCTGGCAGATGAACGGGGAGCAGAATGAGGACATAATTTTATCCCTGTCACTGCTGGATTTTCTATCCGTGGCATGAATTTAAGACAAGTAGGAATTCAGGTCGAACCTGGGGGATTTGCAAATTTAATAACATCCTCAGGGTTCGAAAAGGAAGAAAAAGTCACACATCAAGTTGAGTTTAATACACACTTTGCATTTTTATACACAACACAAATGAATCTCCCTGTCCTCTGTACTGCCTGCAAGTCTACTTTAAAGTCCCAGGATAAGTGCAGGGAGGTACTTTTGGCCAGACACTCAACTCTGAGTACATAATTAACTATTTCCAGTTCAAATGACTCACAAAAGGGCAAAGAAATGTGGTCCTTCCAATTGGCTCACTGGCAAGTTCCAGAACCACCTCTACAGGTTTACTTTATTTGGGTGGAGCACACAGCCTACTGCAGTGGCTGACACCCATCTGGCATGCACAGTGTAAAAACTGATGCACATCAGGTGTGATTTTGGATTTAAACTGCACTTGCCTAGATGACTCCTATATGGTTCAATAGGTCCCAAATACACACTAATGCAAGTGTTGGAAAAGAAAATTCTTCTCTGGCCATTGACAGGCATAAATGGAAACCCAGTGTCCACCCTACCTCGTCTTCTGCAACATAGCCATTCAAAGACCAGACACAGACAGGTCTACCAGCTCCACCCCCTGCCCTGGGTTCTTTTCTCTGCTGCAGGTATGCACTTGCTGACTGCTGCTTGTCCCTGGAATGTGAGGAAGAGCTTCATAAGCACTCCATGTCTGGATGTCTGGGATGAATTAATCAGCTCTCTGCAGGTCTTCACTCCTGATGAGGCTCGGGATAATGCCAATACTTGTGAATCTTGCAGACGGGGTGGGTGGGGTAGTCAGGGCTTGTCTTACTATTACTTTATACAGTGAGAATTTCCAGTTCCATATTTTATTAGGAACAGCTCTGGAGAGTTCTCTTTACAAGACAGTAAGTGGGTGGGACAAGTGACAGGAACAGGAAGTCTACTGCTGATGAAAACAAGGAGCATCTGTGACAGGGCTATGCATGAGTCCTCGGACCACAGGTGGGGCTCTGGGGACAGGAAGGCAGAAGGCGTGGCATGTTCATAAACACTTGCTGTGGGCTCAGCAAATGTTCTGAGGCAAACAGAGAAGGCTTTCTGTCCACCTGGCCCAGGAAAACCACCAAGGGTTGCTACTGGCACAGAGCTTGGGAAATGACGGTTTTAAGTACCTCTCACAGAACAAGGGGTTAGCTGAGTGACAAGAGTCACCAGAAAAGAAAATGAGGACTTCAAAGGGAATACAGAGAAAGATTAAAAAGTATTTTAAAATTTGGTTCTTTCTTCAATTTGTTTTCTTTCTGATTGCCTGAGTTTCTAGTTTTCAACCTTTTCCAGAAGGCATTTCTGTCATGTGCACAAACTGTAACAGGGTTTATAGTTCACTAAAAGAAGAATGTTGTTTCCTCACTTTCTCTATGACAAATGTAACAAGATGGCTCTGGCCAGGATTTTCTTTTAAAAAGAGGGTGGTGGGAAGTGACGAGACATATGGACAGACACAACAACGTTATGATGCTTTTGTGTCAGGATTTAAACATTTCCTGGAGGCTGGAGAGGTGGCTCAGTGGTTCCCAGCACTCGCAGGGGACCCAGGTTTGGCTCCCAGCACCCACATGGCAGCTAATAATAACTATGACTGCAGCTCCAGGGGACCAAATCAATGTCCTCTTCTGGCCTCCTGGAACACTGCATGCTCTTACACACGCGTCAGCAAAATACAGGACAAACCTGCAATCCTAGCACCCAGAAGACTCAGGCAGGAGGACTGCCAGTATGGGGTACATAGCAGGACTGTTTCAATGGAAACAAAAGTGGCCTCATAAATGGTCAGTGCTCTGTAACCCGTGTATTTTCATTCCTCCACCTCTTCTTATGAAGATGGGGGAGATGAAACTGACCTGAGGGAGGGGACAAACTGAAGCTCTGTGTACACCTCCCACTGTGAGGACTAAAATAAACGTTTGGAGACAGAATGAAATTAATTCTGTGTCAGGTGAAACACATGAAGGAGAAAAAGATCATTAAATACAAAAATACTTTTTACACATTTCAACTTTATGTGTGCTTTGTTGTTGTTTTTTTGTTTTGTCACCTTGACACAAGATCAGGGAACTGGGAAAAGGGAGTTCAACTGAGAAAAATGTCTCCAGCAGTCTGGCCTGTAGGGAAGTCTGTGGGACATTCTCTTGACTAATGATTGATGTGAGAGGGCCCAGCCCACTATGGGAGGCACCATCCCCAGGCAAGCGGTCCTAGGTTATATCAGGAAGGTAGCTCTTGAGTAGGTCAGGACAGTATTCCTCCAAGGTCTCTGCTTCAGGATCCTGCTGTGATTTTCCCTCAGTGATGGAGTGCGGCCTGGACTTGTAAGCTGAAATAAACCCCTTGCTCCCCAAGTTGCTTTTGCTCATGGTGTTTATCACAACAGTAGAAAGCAAACTGATACAAATTACAACATTGTAACACATAAAAGAAAATTCACTGTATCCCCTTCCACTGCAGTTAAGTTGCATTTTCCTTGGACTTAGTTAACTATTTCATACCAATTTGGTAATGTGGGTATTCACAGGTTGGTGGCAGTTGGGCTCATGAGCCATATTTTCATGCTTGATTAAGAACACTGGATGTACACCAGTCAAATGTATCAATGATGGCCATGAACCATTTATAAACATTATATTCTCCAGTTGAAGAAAAGTCTGTTCCTTTAATGAATATAATTCCAACTGTTCAATTATTCCATTCGGGCATGTGATAACTGCATCATCTAGCCACTGTGCTGGAATGTAAGTGCTATCTCCTCAAAGATAATGTAATATGTCACTGATATTTAATATCCATGGTAATTGGGTTCCACGAGCCTCAGAGTGACCCCAAGTCTTGTATAAGCATCTCTGGCAGGAACTTCCACCCACAGCCAGTGCATACAGATGATCTAATTTTGCAAGCGTGTCATTCCCAGTCTTCAGATACACATCCAGGCCAAGATATTTTCCCCTTGTGAATATTTTCCAATCCCATGGAAGAAAAGAAGAGAGGCAGATTGGGAGCGCTGCCTTGTTAGTCAGTATCCACTAAACCACATCCTTTCATGTCTAAACTGCTCCTGCTCTGAAAGGCGGCACCTCCTTGTCACCAATGTCTCATCTCCACAGCACTAGGACTGGACCTACACAAACACCTGGACTGAGTTTTAGTCCCCTGGTGGCCTAGCAGCACTATAGCCTGGGCTTACGAAAGAACCATGGATATAATTACCAGCCATCCACGGACTACTCCAAATGTAGTAAGATTCTGGCCTCGCTGCCAAGGCCCTTCTCTAGCTGGCTTCTCCTCAGCCATCCCTCACAGAGCCACAGGCCCATATGGCTCCCATCAATGCTTTTTTTCTTCTTTTTCAAATTACATTATTCTCAACGTATTTTACACATGCATTTGTGAACTTACTATCGGCCTGTGGTTGACCCTATCTAGAGGTGTGGGGAGTGGGTCCTAAGGATGGATAGTGGCACCTTGTTTATTACTGGGGACTCTGAGAAGTGCCACCTGCCAAATGCCTGTCAAACAAGGAACACTTTAGTAAACAACACAACACATAATGTTATCAGTTAAGAGAGCTGTTCAGTCTTGAGAAACTCACCACAGAGACAGGATCCATGGCCTCCTGCTTGACTGGGACTGGGTCAAACATGAGCATTCTTTTAGTTAAGCCTTCTAGGGTGTTCTGATGTTTGGCCTGGAAAACAAAACAACATGCCTAGTCTTAATACTGAGTCATAAAAACTAAGGAAACTAACACACCCCTTTACCCATTTTCTCCACTCCATCTTCTCTCACCTCTGGAATGACTAGAATTGTTTCCCTTACCTACTACGAAAGATACCCTTTCATATAATTAAAACCAGGCCTCACAGGCAGGACTAAATGAAGCGGCATTTCTTATTCAACTATACAGACCCTGACATTTCTGAACAATATGTACAGCCTCTTCTGGCAGGAACCTTGCTTGGCATTACTGGGCAGCCCAGCAGAAGATCCACCCCACCCCCACACTCATCATAGAAAAAAGCCTGTGTTAACCCTCCAAACCCTTTTAAGTGGGAATGTAGTACCCCCACTGTTAGGCACCATTATGGCCACTTAATACTTCATTGAAAACGATCCTTTGTTGTAATGATACAGACTCAAACCATCAAACGCATCCTGCCGACGCTGTGAGAAGGTCACTTTAAATTGTCACCTTTCATTATACACAAGGGCCAATGAGAGCTCAGTAGACAAACATGTCTGCTGCTAAGCTGATGAGCACAGTTCTCACCCAGAACCCACATGGAGCAAGGAGCAAATTGCCCTCCAACTACCGTGTATGCCTGTGCACACACACAGAGAAAGGAATCAAAAAATAATAGACATTTTTGGACCCTTAGTTTCCAAATGCTCCCCTGTACAGATAGCATTGACACTCTCTGTACTTGATTTCCACACAGTTTTAATGCTTAGGACAAAGTTCCTAAAGGAGAAGTCTTTGCTTCCATTTACTTTGAGCTCACTATTTACATTTCTTTCTTCGAGAAAAGTCTACTTGGATCCTGAAACATACCCCCTATACACACACACACACACACACACACACACACACACACACACACACACACACACTCTCCATATTAGCTTGCTGTTATTCTAATATAAAGGCAATGCCTACCTTGAGGCTGTCCTGCCCTGCTTTGTAACCACCATCTGCCAAACAAAACCACTTCCCAGCTGCTACTGACTTCACATGGCTGCATCAGGTCCTCGCCATCCCAACTTGGGTGACATGCTTAGTGCTTTGATTTGAAGCAAGGTCACTCAAGGTCACGTGGCTAGTGAGTAAGTTCTCCTGAAGAAAGTGGCATTCCTGTGATCTCAAGGGAGACTGGGGGGAAGAGGACTGCTCCAAGTTTAAGGCCAGCCTGGGCTACACAGCAGGATTCTGTCCCCAAAATTAAAAACCTCAGAGGCTGCAGATGGCTCAGTGGTTAAGAATACATACTGCTGTTGCATCAGCCTAGAGTTTGGTTCCCAGCACCCATCTTGGGTGGCTCACCTTGGGGACCCAATGCTCTCTTTGTGCCTCCACAGGCACCTGCACTCACGGCACATTCCACACGGATGCGTAATTTCAAATAAAAAGAAAATCCTGAAAAGAAGTTCCAGGTTCTAGAGTCTTTGCATCATCTACTTCAGTATGGAAACTGTCCCGCCACCATGGTTCCATGTCTGCATTGCCGAGAATCTAGTTCACATGTGCTCTAGCTGTTATACTAAGACAGCTTCACATGTAAGCATGGTAGCAGGTGGCCTTCAGCACTTCAATGGAACCTCTTCTGATTTTCATATAAATATCATCCACAGCACAGGACCCTGATGTCACAATTGTCCTGTACCCTAGGATGTACAATAATCTGCCAACACAATGTGACACCGGGTGAAGGAACCGGCTTCCCTTTCGGCAGCCATAATGGTCGAACATGTGCTTCTAATGACCTTGACCTAGTCACTAGAAAGACAGATGCCTGCCTTGTGACAAGGAACCAATCAGAAGTTAGCTGGTGGCGCTATGCTTTACGACCCTGGGTGTGCTTTACGGACTAGCGCACAGCAATGACGTAGAGAGCATAGCAACCACCCTGGGAGGGCCTATGAGCCATAACAACCAGTTGACCAATCAACACAGGGCAAGCCCTCCAAGCCTGGAGGCACACCAATCGTGAGCCTGTGCGTACCCCAAAACACTCCCCTTATGCTGCCCTATAAAGATCTATGCGCAGCGGCTTCAAGCTGTCTTTCTAGCTGTCCGCCATGGCGGGTGGGTGAAAGACCCGAGCTAACATGGGGTTAGCTCGTTAAACTACAATAAAGCCTCATGCAGTTTGCAGCAAGCTTTCACCTCCATTCTGTGTTTGGGGTGGCCGCCATCCTGGGCTAAGATTCTGGAAGCCTCAGCTTTCTGAGGGTCTTACATTTGGGGGCTTGT